TTTAAAGTTTATAAATCTAGGTTATACAATTATACATGTATGAGTCCTATTAAAATAAGTTCAGTCTCCCTAACTAATTGCAAGGGCTATTTTGTAACACATAGTTCAAGAAAGATAGATAGATAGATAGATAGATAGATATCAGTTCACCTGTTTTGTTACTATTGTATAAGATAAGAAAATTGATTGACTTCTCTCATGTCATCTTCTTCAAATGTTGGTCCTTTCTTGGTCATAACTCTTATTAACTTTATGTCTTTAGCCTCTTTTTTTCCGTCTCAGATGTTTTATCTTGTCTCTCTGTTAGAGTGTGAGATAGAAGTGAACGGTCTTCTGCAAAGTCTAGGTCGTATATAATCTAACTTAATTCCTTTTACACTTTGGTTAATACTCAGTCAACAACTATCAGGAATAGTGTTAGTAATAAGGGACAACCCTGTAAAACCCCAGTTTTTTCAGTTTTGCAATAAATGATTCAGAGTTCTTTTTATGAATTAATTGTACATTTGACTTCGTACAATGTCTTTATCATGATGTCTCATAATGTCTCAGTAGTTTCTTTTAAACAATTTCTATTGGTGATATCAAACGGATTTCATGTTGGTGCTGAATATTCTTATTTTGCATCTCTTATGTTTCTGTAGACTTCAATGCTGGTCTTAGCATTGTAAAATCTGCATTCCTTTGCTTTATATTAAAAGTTTATGTTATTTCCCCTGTTTTGTTTATGACACTACCAAGATAAGAAAATTGATTGACGTACCTAAATTATATCATCTTCTTCGAATGTTGCAATTCCTTTATTTTTAGTCAGGTCTCTCATTTTTCTTGGTATAGATCTTGAGCTTCTTTTTCCATGTTTCATAGGTTGTATTCTGTCTCTTATGTCTGTTAGAGTGTGAGATAAAAGTGGAAGGTTCTTCTGCAAAGTCTAGGTCGTATATTCTCCTGAAGATGATATAAGGGAATAAATTCCTCTTGCACTTTTGTGAAGGGATCTTGTTACTCAGCCGGCAACTTCCAAGAATAGTGTTGGTAATTAAGGGGATAGATAATTTGTTTAACTCCGGTTTTTACAATAAATGATTCATTACATGATTCTATCAAAGTTATTTTATGAATTATCTGTACTCTTGACTTCGTACAGTGTCTTTATCATGTTGTCGATCTTAAGGGATTCCATAGTGTTTTAGTAGTTCCCCTAAAACTCTGTTTTGATGATATCAAACGGTTTTTTAAAAAATCGTTGAAGTTAATGTAAAGTGATTTTTGCCCTCCTATATGTACATTCTGCATATTTCTCTATAAGAATGCGTGGTGCAGCTTTTTAGTCTGTGCAAATTCCGATGAATCTAAATCTGTTTCCTTCGTCTCTTAATACTTTGTCTATTGTCTCTTTCAATCTATTTCAAATAACACTGTTTAGAATCTTAAGCAGACGGCAGATTTTGCTTGGTACAAAAAGCAAAATGAAGCTTCTTCACTTTTTGCAGAGATTAAGATCTCCCTTCTTTGGTTTATTTAATTAGACAATCAGTCCTATCTTCCACTGATTAGGGATTCTCTCTGCTTTTCATAGTTTGGTTAACAGTCAATAATACATTCCTCTTTTTGTTGTCAAATAATCCTCAATGCCTCAGTTAGTATTTCGTCAATTCCTGCTTTTTTTTTCATTTTGAAAAGATTTAACACTAGTAGCTGTTTTCAATTCCTTCTTTCTTCTTCCAGCTATTTTTGCATTCAGGTCTTCTCCAAGGTAAATCGTATTGGTCTACTAGAGTTTGGTCTAGTACTTTATTGATGTGTTTGTTCTATCTATTTAGTTGTTTATCTAGATCTAGTTTTACATATTTTGCCCAGATTTGCTACACCAGATCGTCTCTTTTTCAGAGTTTTTATGATGTTATGTGATGTTAAATGCCCTCGAATCTCCTTTGTAGGCTGCCAGCTCAGCTTTCTAAATAAGCTCATTTATAAAGTCTCTTGTTCTTGTCTCCAGTTGTCATCGACTTCTTCGTCTAGCTCCTGATATTTAGTTTGGTGCTAACGTCTTTGCAATCTTGTTTTTTCATCCTCCTTAGCTTCCTCCCAATTGTTTTAGTAACATCAATTCTTTCATTTAATTATATATATATATATATATATATATATATATATATATATATATATATATATATATATATATATATATATATATATATATATATACATGTATATATATATATATATATATATATATATATATATATATATATATATATATATATATATATATATATATATATATATATATATATATATATATATATAAAAAATGCCCCCGTAATCGAAGATTCGGGGGCATATAGTTTTTGCCCTGTGCGTCAGTCTGTCTGTCTGTCTGTCTGTTTGTCCTAAAAAACTTTAACCTTGCCCATAACTTTTGGTTGGTTGGAGCTATGGCCTTCATAGTTCACATGTGTATTCCTTGTGACAGGACCTTTCTTTGGGTACCATAAAATTTGACCTTTTGACCTTGGAGTTTAACCCAATTTTGCTAATTTTTTTTTTCAAATTTTAACACTGGCCATAACTTTTGATTAGTTGGTGCTAGGGCTATCAAACTTCACAAGTGTATACCTTGTGACAAGACCTTCCTTCGGATATCAACAACTTTGACCCTTTGACCTTGACCTTAGAGTTTGACCTAATTTTGAAAAAAACCTTAACTTTTGAACTGTTGGTGCTAGGGCTTCCATATTTCAATCCTTGTGACAAGACCTTCATTTGAATACCAATAACCTTGACCCTTTGACCTTGACCTTGGAATTTTACTTACTTTTGCAAAACTTTAACCTTGGCCATAACTTTTGAAAGATTAGAGCTAGGGATTTCATACTTCACATATGTAATCCTTATGGCAAGGCCTTTCTATTGATACCATCAACTTTGACCCTTTGACCTTGATTCTGGAGTTTGACCTACTTTTGCAAAACTTTAACCTTGGCCATAACTTTTGAACGGTTGGTGCTAGGGCTTTCATTATTCACATATGTAATCCTTGTGACAAGACCTTCCTTTGGATACCAACAACCTTGACCTTTTGACCTAGACCTTGGAGTTTGACCTACTTTTGTAAATATTAAACCTTGGCCATAACTTTTGAACGGTTAGTGCTAGGGCTTTCATACTTCACATATGTAATCCTGACAAGACCTTCTTTTGGATACCAAAAACTTTGACCCTTTGACCTTGGAGTTTGACCTACTTTGAAAACTTTAACCTTGGTCACTACTTTTGAATAATTGGTGCTAGGGCTTTCATACTTCACATATTTATCCTTGTGACAACACCTTCCTTAGGATACCAACAACTTTGACCCTTTGACCTTGGAATTTGACCTACTTTTGAAAGACTTTAACCTTGGTCATAACTTTTGAACGGTTGGTGCTAGGGCTTCATATTTCACATGTGTATTTCTTGTGAGAAGGCCTTTCCTTGGTTACCATTAATTTTGACCATTTGAACTTGACCTTGATGTTTGACTTACTTTTGAAAAACTTTAATTTTCCCATATCTATTCAATAGTTGCTGCTAGGGTTTTCATATTTCACTGGTATATTTCTTGAGACAAGACCTTACTTTGGGTACCAACATATTTGATTTGCATTTGAGAAAGTTTAATCTTTTTTATGAGTTGCCATACTGGGCATCAGTGTTTCACAAACACATCTTGTTTTGGGTTAGGATTTCAAATACTTTTTTGGAAAAAATGTTTTTGCCTGCATCACATTAATTTACGCAGGTCTTCTGTGGTATCTAGACTTTGAATTCGATTTTGTTGTAGGATTGGAAATTTTTCTTCGATTCGTGGCTTTCTATTTTTCAACATTTTATTCTTACATAACTGAGGTCCGAACTTTTCATGTCTGACTTATCATGGCAAGATCTTTCCGGATTTTAATAAATCCATCTTCAGGACTCTATGTTTCTTTTTAGAAATTCATATGAGGGAATATGGAGTCTCCGATAACAATTTCATCTATTTCACGAAATTCAGCCAGAAGTTCTTTTGCTTTCACGTCTCCAGATGTATTATGTAGATACACCATGCCTTCCCTTTGACTTTTCTCTGTTTTTACTTTCTTGTTAATCTTTGCATTTATGTCACACTAAAGTGTGTCGTTTTGGAATTTCTTCTCACCATCTTAGTGCATGCAACTCTTGACTGAATTACAATATAGAAATAATTTACATGAAATGCCGAATTGAATTGCGTTTTGAAACGTCATTCAGTTTTTATTTTACAATGTGGTGTTTAAGATGTCTTTAACAAAGCTTAATTATAACCAAAATATATCACAAATCCGCCAAAGTGTGATAAATATTACAGTAAATCGATCGTTTGTAAGTCTAAATAATATAGAAATGTCGCCACTTTGTTTCAGCGCAGCCATCTTGAAAATGGTGGAATTTGCGATGGCCAACGATGATTTTAGAAACAGTTATCTGACAGATAATTGTGCCAAATTTCATGCTTGTCTCCACAAGTGAAATATTTTCGTGAAGTTTTGCTCTAAGCCGCTCATGTACTAGTCCATTCATTTATTTTCGGCCTAGATTCCAATTTTTTCCTTGTCTATATGCATGAATTGATTTTCCATTATACACCTCTGTAAATTTTTTGAGATTTCCCCTGCTCTGTCAAGTTATCCATTCTTTTTTAATGAGGTACGTTTACGAGATGCTTGATTGAAGTAATTTTCACTATATGTACACGAAATTTGACGGAACAAATAAGTAAAATATAGTTATATATACCCGACATTTAATCTACCGTTTAAAATTCTATCAGACTATTGATCTTTATTGAATGCCCAGCTTAATCGAAAATCTTAGTTTTATTCTCTTGGCTGGAAGCCAAAATAAATCTGGAACATACTTGTTAAATTCATTTTCCGTGTCAAGTATAAGGATGAAGCAGCTTTCAAGATAATCATGAAAAATCTTAGTGAATTTTTAAACAGCACATTCTCCACTAAACCTTCGATATTCCCAAGACGAGTAAAACGTGGAATATTTATGAATTTCGATAGAGATCGAGATTTACAGCAGGAAAAAGTTCCAGATTTACAGCCTAACAACGAAAACATATTGTTGAGTTCCGGTTCTACCAAGGAAGACTTATGGAACATCAAGGTAGTCCTGTCGGGATGTTTGTTAGTCATAACTGTTCTAGCTCTGGTTTTGTTTGTATAGTATTTCGAAAGAGATTGGACTATAGACTTTACAGAATACGACAACATTTAAAACAACGAAACCAGCGCCGCAATAAAAATCATATCTTGCTAGAAGATAAACGCTATGATGTATATTTGTCGTATGCAGAAAGCGACTATCCATGGGTATTAAATCATTTGCTTCCGTACATCGACAACGAAGAAATGGATGAAAATCATGCTTTTGGCGGAAATTTTAAAACATATTTTAGTGATAGAGATGCTCATCAAGGACTAACAGAGATTGGTAATATGTGTCAAAATATTGAAATGAGTAAAAATTGTCTTATTATTTTATCCCGAAACTACACACAGAAGCCTTTACATTCTGTTGAATTAGACCACATGTTATTGTGCAAGGAAGATTCAATCATTCAGAAAATTATACTTGTAATGATAGAGGAACTAAAATTTGAACAAATCCCAGTTGCCTTGCATCGCAAAATAAAGAAGGAGGAGGTCCTTCGATGGGAACATGGTCAAACTAAGGAAAGACAATTTCAGAGTGACTTAGTATGGGCTCTCCGGCGTAATTAATGCAAAAGTCAGTGTTACGAGGGTTTTTTTTATTTTTATAAAAACACACACAAAGCAGCGAACCGTGTTACATTCAAACCATTATAAAATGTCTTTTTAAATGTCAGAGCATTTTGATTTGATGATTGAATTTGAATATTATTCAAATTGAAACATAAATCATATTAAAAAAAGTTTTTTTCAAAGTCGATAATCATATACAGGTCACCGTTTTTATTTTATTTTGTGCAATAGTTCGTCATAACAGAATTAAAGTTCTACTTCTATAAAAATCAGAAGTTTATAAAATCAACCTGACCTCAATTCGTTCATCGATGTTCTTTTTAAATCTTTGTTTTATTTTTGTTGTTTTTTATTTAGTTTTGTTTTGTAGTTGTTGTATTTCTAAAAAAAATATTTTTGTTTAGAAAGACCGTTCATTAGCTCTACCGGTCAGAGACCAGAAGAGCTTACATGTATGTAATTGTAAGTTGTCCATCGTCCGTCCGTCCATCCGTCCGTCTGAAAACTTTCCACATTTTCATCTTCTTCTCGAGAACAACTGGGCCAATTTTAATCAAAGTTGGATTAAAGCACCCTTGGGAGAAGGGAAGTTTAAAATAAAGGGCCAAGCCCCCTTTCAAGAGATAATCAAGAAAGACAAAAATAGGATGGGGTCGTTAAAACATTTTCTCAAGAACCACTGGGCCAGTAAAGCTGAAACTTATGTGGAAGCTTTCTTAGGTAGTGTAGATTCTACATTGTTCAAATCGTGGCCCCAAGAGTTAGGTTGGGGCCACAATAGGGAATCAAACTTTTACACTGAAACATATAGGGAAAATCTGTAAAAATCTTTTTCTCAAGAACCACTGGGCCAGTAAAGCTGAAACTTATGTGAAAGCTTCCTGAGGTAGTGTTGATTCTAAATTGATTTATGTAGAAGCTTTCTGAGGTAGTGTAGATTCTAATCATGGCCCCCGCGGTTAGGCTGGGACCACAATAGGGATGCAATTTTTTTTTTACATTGAAATATATAGGAAAAATCTTTAAAAATCTTCTCAAGAAACACTGGGCCAGTAAACCTAAAACTTATGTGGAAGCTTCTAGATTTTCAATTGTTCAAATGATGGTCCCGGAGTAGGATGGGGCCACAATAGGGAATCAAAGTATTACAAAGGGAAAAATCTTATGAAAAACAGCAGGGCCAAAGTGACTCAGGTGAGAGTTGTGGTTCTTGGGCTTCTTGTTAAAATAAGGATTAAATACCTCTCCCTGAAGTTGTTTTCTCAGCTGACTATTAGCCCACACAACTGAGGTTAACACAGTAGTTATAATTTGCTACTGGTAGACTAAGTTTATCAATTGCATATCCCCCCCCCCCTTCCCCTTTGAAGAAAAATGTTGATGCTATTTTTTTCGCCCAGAAGAAAGAGAACGCCACTTGATTTAAATCGATTGTAAAGCTTTTCTAAAAGTTTTGACGTATTCTGTAATTAATACTTTGATGAAGAATTGAACAAAAATATCACACTAGTCTACTAATGTCTAGAATATGAAAAAAAAGAAGACATAACAAGATTTTTTGTTTCGAAATACTGTATAGTAATTGAATAGATGCAAAAATGCACTCAAAAACAGAGAATATACTTTGCATGTTCTATTCAACAAATAGCATTCCTATTATTTTTACTTCTCGCCTAAAACTCTTATGAAAATCAAAAACAAAATCATTTTAGTCACTAATAAGCACCATTTTAAACTGGCATTAAAGCTGAACATGATTCGTAAAAGGGAGAGAGTTATCTTTGTCCGCCATATTTTAGATTTGACCGTCATCTCAAGCCGTTATACAAGTCTCAGCCTTGTTCAGAGTTCAGTTTCTCTCAATGAAGAATGCCTTTAATTATTTTTTTTTACTTTAATTAAGTGGTTGATTTACGAAGGACAATCTAAAAAGTTAGAAAAGTTTGCAAGACTGAACACTCAGTGAACAATCTTGCTTTTATTTGCAAAATATATGACAAAAAACAGAACAAAACAAGACTTAACAAAAAACAGAAAAAAAATGTTCATCGTTTTATTCTGTTTACAAGTGAAGCGTGCTATAACTTGTAAAACACCGAAAACAAATCTTAAAACGGAATTTTCAAACTCCAGACTCAGTCTCTTTTGCAGAAGGGAGGAGCAGCATTTGTTTGCAGGTAGAATTTGCCGTGAACATTCTTATCGACATGGTAACCCATTCTGTTGCAGCCATTTGCACACGACATGCACTTGCCACGGTAGAAGTCCCAATAAGTTGTACAGAGGTAGGCCTTAAATCCACAAGAGGAATTAATAGACTCGATAAAGAAGTAGATAGCCCGCATATGACTGCATGCTACGCTTGCTGAAATCTCTGTAAAAAGAAGAATATATTAGTGTTCTAGCTGCAGATCTGCATCTCGCTGGTCTGAAAAAATTAATTAAAACGATAAGTACATTTTTGAAGAATAAAATGTTTCTTTTTTTTTTTTAAAGAAATTTAGTAAAGTGAATAAAACCCTTTAATTGAGATCATATTACGGTTGTTATTGCGAGAAATGGGACTCTAAACATTCAAAGTGCTACAGTAGAAATTCATAGAGCACAGCGGTAAAATGAAGAAACAGCATTAAGAAAACTAGTACGTACTTCCCATTTTTCCTTGGAAAAAATTCTGAATGTTGCTCCACAGATTACGCTTACATCCGGGTTGTCTTGTACCCCCGTTTGGATAGAAGTCAACATGTCCATTCGGTGTCCTGATTCCAAAAGCTATGAGGAAAAAAGTAAGACCTTAGCCAACAATTTCAGATGCTCTCCATGAATTTCGTCAGATTTGTTACCTACCCATTTCCAGCAGCGAGGCCCCATCGGTGTGAATGACGTCAACGAAACTCGCGTCAGAGGGATCCAGTTTAACTTTGGTGTCAAATTTTTCAAAATATAAGCCAGCCGGGTCAAGTCCTAAAATTTAAGAGCAATGTCTCATTTTATCCTTGAAATAGACACTGTTACTAACTTATTTGTGAAAAAGGAAAAGAAATAGAGCTCTTGTATCGTGAAGAATCGATCAACTTCAAATCTACTTATAACATGAAAAGAGATTGGTACGGTGCACTTTACACTTGAAAAGAAATCAAGAGATGGTTTTAAAATAAATTTAAAATATCTTCATTGCAATATGATATACGGAAGCAGCAAACGAAAATATACGTTAAATACCCGTTATTCTGCCAATTCCCCGTACCCAGTCTCCGGCATACCCCATGATTTGGGCACCGAGACTGTGACCAATGAGGTGGACCTGTCCCAGAGGTAAGCTGACGCTGTCTCGTAAAGCTTTTATCATGTTCCCAATGGTGGCCCCAACCACACGAGTATTGGCGGCGGACTGACGGTAAATTGTACCTTGAGTGCCCTTTGACCAGTCAACAGCTATCACATTCATGTCTCCCTGAAAAAAAGCATAATAAAAAATATATATTATTCGTTGTCATCTTTATCTAATATACGTTTTATTTTGCCCATTTGGATTTGAGAACACATTACTAACAGATGTTACAGGGGTACATCCGGTTTAACAGACTTGTATAATATTATTAACTGACATTAATAAGAAATTTAGCAGAAAAATGCCAACATTTTCGAGAAGGGCGTCTTTCATCTCCAGTGGCCATCCAGATTTTGCTGTGTCTTGGAATCCGTGGGTGATAAAAATAGTCGGTAGATTGGAATCAAAGTTGGAATTGGAGACGGTGTTTGTATTATATGGATCCAGGATTTGGGCAGTATCTCTGTTCTGTCTGGTGTACAGGCTGAATGTGGTTTCAATCTTGCTCGGAGACTGGGGCAAGGTTCCCCTTGCATTGTTGAATGGCTTTGCATTGCTGAAACACCCTACGTGTGGGTAACAAACTTGCTTTGGCTTTGATTTGAGAAACCACAATCCTACAAGAAAAGATTGTCTTATAAATTATATCAAGAATGTACAAAAGTAGCTATCTCGAAATCTTTTGCTTGTTTAGTTCCAATTCGACACATTTTGCACAGAATATTTTAGTTTGGGATTGAATTCTTCTAGATATCAGATATTTTTGTTACCTTGGGTGGATGTAAGCAGAAGCAGAAATGTTAAGCTTTTCAACATTGTGGATGAATTTGGAACAAGTTTATCAATGAGCAACTGAAAAAGAAACAATAAGTACAGTTTCTAACACCATATAGCATACTACAAGAAATATGTATTACAGATACTTATTTATTCTGATCCGTCTTATATCCGGATAACAATCGTATAGTTATATTCAATAAGAGTTGTTCTTATGGAACTAATTCCTCCCACCCCTGCATGGCAACTAAAGAAAGGGCGTACTTTTAAATAAATTTAAGAAAAAATTTACCGTCTTGCAGTAAAATATATTTCAAATTTATGGGGTGTGTATTTGTTGAAATGTTCCTGGTTTAAAGTTGTAACGTCTCTTTTCATCAGAAACCTTGGTGTCGATTATGAAAATTGAACTTTCAAGTACAGGCAATTAACAGATTAACGATCAATAACATTTAAAATTTTTTGCTATGTGACATTGGCGATTGCCCAGGAGCCCATTTTACAAAAGAACTTAATACGACTAAGACCAAAAACTTTATTTCATTGTAAAATTTTGTAAAATGAATGATTTTGTTTAAATTTACTAGCGTAAAATATCTTTCTACATCCCTCATAAAAAGATTAAAACCGTTTTCAATTTAATGTAAATTAGAAAGTTACAAGCAGAATTTAATTTTGGTCTTAGTCGTAAGTTCTTTTGTAAAACGGGCCCCAGAAGAAGAGACTTCTTTGTCAATAGCAATCTCTGTGGAATGTTCTGTAAACCCTCCTGATTCAATTCCAGTACAAAGTTATACATGTAAAGAAATTGACACTGCTTAGCCCTGTGGCATTGACCTTGTCCAAATAACCTTGGTTCAGTGACTTATTCAATTGTAAAGTTATCCCATTACAACATTATAAGATTTAAAACTAAGGCAAGGCTTTTATGCTTTGAATTCACAAGAAATTGATGTCATTGCGAGGCGCAGGTTTAGAAACTATTGCTCTAGAATCACTTAGTAAGGGGTTGACCCTTATGTCGATGGATCGATTCCGACTGCCGGTCGTGGAGACCGGACCTTGCAAACCGAGGTCCCGTGTCGCAGTATGTACTGGTACGAAAAAAATATCCTGCTCAAAGACCGTAACTGCCTACTTCAGGTGTAAAATTGCAGCCCTCCATCATCAAATGATTGCGTATTTATATGAGTAAAAGACTCTCGAAGAGATGTTAAACAAAAAAAGTTTCTTATCACAAATAATATAAAACACTGAAAAGTCCGTAACTTTTCAAAATTTTAACAAATCCATTTGAAATTTAGATGGTGCTTCCAGTGTGTACCCCCGCTCCACTTCGTTTGTATTGTATACATCTCGAAAAAAAACAAGTCAAAATTAATACAAATGTCTTTAAAACCGCCATTTTCAACAATCAGCTTTATAAAAGTCACATCTTTTTGAAATACCCCCGAATCTATATATATACATGATCATGTGGGTTATTCTTCCTATAAGATTCTGGAACTATTTGGTATTTACTATTAACTGTTTACCGCAATTAAGTTGTTTGTCTAATCATTAAAGCCAAAATATGATCAAATCAAGATAAACTGGACGCGAGTCACAATAGTATCTATACCTGAAGACTTCAATGCACATGGGATGGGCTTCAGTGGTACCTATTATTTGACAAAAACAAAAAATTACCCAGTGCTACCGGTAAATGTATTTTTCAGAAGGCAATGTTTATTGCTTTATATATATAATTGTGAAAGAGCAATCAGTTAACAAATGCAACTTTTTGTTAAGTATCATTAATTGCATAATAATATAAATGCGCTTAAATTCCTAAATCAAGATACATAATATATAAGAGCAAGAGGCCCAAGGGCCTTAACGGTCATCTGAGCACAACAATTTAGAGGATCCATAAACTGATAAATGAAGCTTTGTTGCCCAATAGCAAGGAAAACAGTATGATGAAGATCAACAAAATAACTGTTCTAGTATCTTTCTATCTGTCCCCCATTTATCACTATTACCATGCAGACTTTTAACAAAATGTCTATACTATTACCTCTCACATTGGCCTCACTTGGCTTTTGAACATTTAAAAAGATAAGTAATTTTTGTTTCATTTTTATTCATCTATTATTTCCAAATCTACCTGATTATTAAAACTATGAAAGTACTTTATGTATTATACATTAAATGTTATTGCATAATTCTCTTATTTTATTAACCTTTCAAATACATTATCTACAGTGATTAATTATCAAAGGTGAATGGCAAAGGGGAATAACTTCACTCAGTAGAATACAAATTAATAGAGCCCTGGCCATTATCAGAACACTTGTCTAAATGGTCCAGATGTTAAAAATTCTGGTAAAAATACCTTGCTTATTAAAACTATTACTCTGATTGCTTCCAATATGCCCAGGAGCAGAGGAGATTTTCTATTTAATACCCAGGAGCAGAGAAGAAGATTTTCAAAGAAATAATGCATTTTCACTATATAATCAATAGAGCCCCCCCCCCCCCCCAACACCAGAACCCCTGACTCTGGGGCCATGAAATTCACAATTTTGGTAGAGGCACTCTTGCTCATCATAACTATGTACTTAGTTAGTTTATTTCATGCCCAGGAGCAGAGAAGAAGATTTTCAAAGATTTAATGCATTTTCACTATATTATCAATAGCCCCCCCCCCCAACCTAACACCAGAACCCCTGACCCTGGGGCCATGAAATTCACAATTTTGGTAGAGGCACTCTTGCTCATCATAACTATGTACTTAGTTAGTTTATTTCATGCCCAGGAGCAGAGAAGATTTTCAAAGATTTAATGCACTTTCACTATATAATTAATAGAGCCCCCCCCCCCCACCACCACCACCACCACCACCAGAACCCTGACCCAGGGGCCATGAAATTCACAATTTTGGTAGAGGCCATCAAAACTATGTACTTAGTAAGTTTATTTCATACCCAGGAGCAGAGAAGAAGATTTTCAAAGATTTAATGCATTTTCACTACATAATCAATAAAGCCTTGCTCAACATAACTATGTACTTAGTTAGTTTATTTAATACCCGGGAGCAGTGAAGAAGATTTTCAAAGAAATAATGCATTTTCACTATATGATGTATATAGCCCCACCCTAGCACCACAACCCCTGACCCTGGGGCCATGAATTTCACAATTTTGGTTGAGGCCTCAATCCTTATTACAATCATGCCAACAGTTTGACTGCTTGATGTCCAGGAGTAAAGAAGATTTTTAAAGATTGCATTAATTTTGGTGGTTTTAGCCCCACCCCTCAGGCCCAAGGGGGGCAGGGACCATGAAATTCACAATTTTTGTTCCCCTTTACCCATAGGTGCTATATGCCAAAATTGGTTGAAATTGGTTGAGCGGTTTCAGAGAAGAAGCTAAAAATGTTCAAATGTTAACGCACGACGAACGACGACGGACAAAAACGGATAGCAGTAGGTCACCTGAGTGACTCAGGTGACCTAAAAACTTAGGGAGAGAAAGAGACTCTTGGACCTAAGAGGTTAACTAATTACATATCTAAACAAAGTTTCAGAAATGTGCTATTACTTCCCTTCTCTATTTTTTCTACTTATCTTGAGATGCTCGCTGTTGAAGGACTGCAGTTTTAGATCTGTACATGGCACTTCGGCAGTATGAAGTCTTTGAGTAGTGAGGTATCTTTTTTGTGCCAGCACCCACGATTTGCAGAGGCGTAGTCACAAACTTAAAACTTGGAGGGGGGCTCAAATCCAAGAAAAATGTAAAACGTGTAATATTAAAGAAATTAACAGGCCCGAAGGAAGCAATAATTTCACTTTGAGTGGGCACAACCATATATTTTCAGTTGGGGGGCACTATCAACTACCAAATTTCCTTGACAAGCAAAAAAAAAAAAGTATATTACATTACTATTACTTCAAGAGAAATGCTTACTCAGTTGTTGCTGAAAATAAAATAAATTTGCCATAAAATGAGGAAATGAGGTTTACTATAATTTCAACATACCGGTAGCTGTGATTTTGTTCTACATTAAGTGGGGGGGGGGGGGGCACAGGCACACTCTTGCCCCCCCCCCCAATATCTGAAAGGGGGGCTAGTGCCACCGCTGCCCCCTCCCCCGTGACTACGCCCTTGATTTGTAGGTTTCATCTTAAAATCCCGCAGTTGGACATAGGAGTCAACTTCATAATTAGCGATTGCAGAACGTTTAGGCTCTAACCACTGAGCAACGCACGCGACAGGATCCAAGTTTATTTATCGAACACTTCCGAAACTTTAGATGGAATATTTAACATCAAAACTGATATTCTGTTTATCAAAAATTTGATATATATAACCGCTTTATGGCCAAGTAATAGAAAGTAGACAGTATGAAAGTTTAGTACAGTTCTATATGCAAGTAGATGTTGATTTTGGACACAGTTAACCCTCCATTATGTAGCGATGAAAGTTCTTGCTACCTGATTATTTTAGCATAAACTTTGTCAGATAAGCCCAAAATTGAAGCATTTAAAATTTTAAGGCAAAAAAGAGACAACTTTCAAAACTTACCTGTCTTTTTCCCTTCTCGCCTTGTCACATGCAAACCAAAATGAACGAATGTCATGCTTTCTAGGTCTTTAAAGGGATGCATGATATCACGTGTCTCCTGTTTGTTTTTTTTTACAGGCTTTAAACCTGTACGGCGGGTGAAGACGGCATTATGTTTTTTGATACGGTCTGTTGAAGATGAACGTTTTTTTTGCAAGTGAATATCTCCTGTCTGTTTTATGTTGATATTTGTAATGTACCAACCATTGGAGTAATCATCGTGGCTTCTTTGTGAAGAACTTTTACAAATGTTTCAAAGTTATATTTAGCTTCTCTGAAGAAAAAAAGGACATCTATGACTTTTCCGATAAAAATATACCATTTATCATCGTTTGCATCGCTGTAAGATAAAATATACTCCACAGTATCTAACCCACATACTAAAATTAGCGGAAGAAGCGTGTAAACAAACCTAGAGAAGAACAAGTACCTGTTAAATTGCAAGGTAGGGATGATTTTCGACACATAAAGATGACGAATTTACGTAATTATCATTCAGCATATCCCACTGAATAAGTTTCAATTGTTTGTATTAAAGTTGTATGAATTTGTAAGTAGAAATTTGAAGAAAAAAACCCGCAATCGTTTGCTCACATATTTATGCATGTAACGTTTGTACGTTGTCTATAATCCATAAGAGATTTTTTCCCAAAAATGGTAAATATTGAAAATTAAGATACAGATCAATGTCATGTATGTTTCGGAATTTTATATTTAAATGTTAAGGTTTGAAATTAACACAACTGAAAATACCTCTGTCATTGTAATCACTGTATGCGTCGTTTCAAACGAGAATGTTCGAATTGTACATGTATTGTTCGTTCCTAAAATAAATGCAAGTTGTACTGGGGTGTAATTCAACAAACAAGAGATCCACAAGTCTTGACGGTCACCTGAGTACCACAGTCCATACATACATTTAACCTCCCACTCAGGGAGTTTCATACTTTCATTTAAACTTAATTTTGCCTTCTAAATTTGAAAAAAATTAACAATATTAATAGTTATCAATAAAAGATTGCCTGATTAAATAAATCTCTTGAGCAAATTTTCTTTAATCTAGCATTAGATACATGTACCAATGTTAATTAGCATGATATGAAATTAGACCTGATCTGTGATGTCTAGCAATGATAGCACAAGCATTTTACACTATGTATTATGTAACAATTGAAGAAAATAGAAGAATTAAAATACTGTATATTAGCATAAAAAAGATGCAACTTTCTCCAAATGCCTGGATACCTATAATTTTTTATCCTAAAATATATTTGTTGATCAATTTTCACTAAGAAAATGCACACCTGGTGTTTTTATTCGCATTTCCTGAAAATATATTTGAGATTTAATAATATTCCCTTTATAAAATGATTAATAATGATGACCTTTGAGGAAATACCATGGGTAAATTCACGTTACTCTGTGAAATCAGAGACAATTTTTGCGAGCATTTTCCATTACTTAATAAGCTGATTGTCAGAACCTGAGGATCGGACTACCTTAAATAAAAATTTTTATTCCGAAAAGCTTGAGTTCCATCTTAAAATTTTGCTTGATCGTCAAAATTATTTCAAAATTATATTCAATTATTTAAAACGTAAAATTTGATTTACGTTTGTTCTGAGTTTATGGTTCTGAGGCCAGGTAAAAGCAATCAGTTGTAACGACTGCGAAGGGTTTATACGCCACAATGCTGATATAGCAGATATGGTGTATGCCTATTTACAAAGCGTGTTAAGCTTTAATTGAACATTCGTTAAAATGTATGGACTGTCTGTCATTTCAGCTGATTGCTGTAATGGAATCCGACTTATTGCTTTCGAATTATTTTTCTTTTAAACTAAATGTCAAACTACACTGGAGACAATTGATAGGCATTAGCAGTGAATCTAAAAAGTTATTTAAAAGGGGGGGTTAATAGAGTTTCTAGAAAACAAGATAGATAGTCATGGAAAGAGGAGCAAAGCATGGGAGGGTTTGTTGACAAGGATGTACGCAACCTTGCTCACCCTCCTCCTAGCAACACACTTGGGATTCCGATATTTAAATAACATGAACCAGAATCTTTTATATGTATTTTAAGATATTATTCATCAAAAATTACATCTGCTTTTATCGTCTGTCCTCACTATCTATATGTTTTTTTCATTCAAAAATTTTAACCAACGTTAAAATTTTGGAAAGTAGGTCAAACTTTAAGTCTAGGTCACGGGGTCAAATATGAATTATTAGGAAAGTTCCTGTTACAGGTAATGTACATGTGAAATATCAAAGTCCTATCTTTTTTCATTCAATAGTTATGATAAAAGTAAAGGAAATGTTTGAAAAAAAATTGAAAAGTAGGTCAAAAGTCAAGGTCATGGGATCAAAAATCATAGACATAGTATAATTAGAAAGGTCTTGTCACAGGTTATGTACTCGTTAAATATGAAAACCCACAAGTTAATGTCCCCTCGCTTTCGCGAACTTAAGCATACCGCACTTTTCGCTTCGTTTTACTTAGGTTTCTGTTTCATGTTTGGATATTTTACTAGAAAAAAGAAGTTTATGATAACCCATGGCCGAAGGAACCGGGGGCACGGGGGGGGGGGGGCGTGCCCCCCAATGCTTTTGCCGATATATAAAATACAAAAGAAAACATACATAATGTAGCAACTATATGCGTGTGCCCCCTCAATAATAATGTCTGATGACCTTTATTTTTTATCTATTTATTTATTTATTTATTTATTTTTTTTTTGCTTGTCAAGGAATTTTGGTACTTGATAGTGCCCCCCCCCCCCAACAAAAATGTATGGTTATTCCCCCTCAAAGTGAAATTGCTTCCTACGGGCCTGTAATCTAACTGCAAAACCTAATGATAAAGGTGATCAGATGCCCTTCAAAAGGTTCCAAAATTGAATAGGTACTTGATAAGGATGGCAATCTGCCCATGGTGCCAACTGCCTGAATCTGTTCCACTGTAATCGAGAAATTGAATCTGCTATATATCTCATTTATACAATCTCTTACATGAACTGCTTTAAACTGAATATAAAACTTCAAAGCAGCTTTTTCATTATCAACTTCCCTTATTTATGAAGCAATATGCCATTTTCACTTGCATATGTAGTTTATGTCTCCCAGTTGATTTGATAGCAAGAGTATGCTCTATGTACGAACAATTTCTGAAACGAGGAAAGCTATCGACAAATAAGTTGATCAAACAAGGATATCAACAGTCTCGTTTAAAGGCATTTCTCAAATTCTACGGTCGATATAATGACCTTGTCAGCAAATACAATCTATCATTAAGTCAAATGTTGACTGACGTTTTTCATACACATTGTTAGTCCAATATTTTCATTCTGAATTGTCTACGGATTTTTTCCTTTACCCGATCATGACAAGAAGCACACGGCAGGTGCGACCGGTCGACAAGGAATGCTTACTCCTCCATGGCAACTGATCCCACCTTTGATGTTTTTAGAGCTCCCTGATTGCTCTACTCCTGATTTTGATTGTTTCAATGAACTTTTGACATGACCGTAGGAACCGGGGGGGGGCACGGGGGGGGCGTGCCCCCCCCCCAATAATTTTGCCGATATATAGATTACTATAGTAAACATAGATACTATATGCTTGTGCCCGCTCAATAAAAATGCTTGATGACCTTTTTTTAAATATTTTTTTTTGCTTGTCAGGAAATTTTTGGTAGTGCCCCCACAGCTGTCAACTGAAAATGTATGGCTGTGCCCCCCCCCCCCCCGAAACTGAATTTGCTTCCTACGGGCCTGTTTGAGCATGTTTACTGTTCGTTATCTTCATATTTCATTAGGCATATCTGATGGTACAGTAAAACTAAACTGTGTGTTTTTGCATAATTTGGAGTTGCTGATATTTAATAGCCCTCAAATACTATTCTTTGTTCAAAGAACTAAATTAACAAGAAAATTTCAAGAAAACATTTCTGCAAAATTATGCTTATAAAATGTAACTAGAGTGTTCTAAAGAACGCATCGGTCACCTACTCTGTAGCTTAATTAGAGATGTAAATAAATATTAGAGTGGTCAGTTGTTTATTTTAGGAATGACTCTAATTCTTGGCCAAATTATTCGAGTATGACCTGTTTTGGGTCAGTTTACGCTGTTTTATAATCCGCTTCGTTGCTCTTTATTAGTTCAAATTTGCCGCTCAAAAATACAACCGTAGTAACAGAAGTAACGGAAGTGATGGGAAGCAAGGGGAGGTAAAAACTTATACATAGGCTTAGCTAGCTGCAATAATGTAGCCCTCTCCAATTTTTTTTTTTTTGGGGGGGGGGGGGGGAGAGGGCTACAACTCCTTAGGATCTCCGTAATGGTGCAAGTGCGGGAGTGATTCACTACCGCACAGATTTCGGCTCAAATTATCAGTAAGTGGGTATTTTATTAACATATCTTACCTGAACTCATAAAAAGTAGTTATGCAAGACATGAATTGATCCAAAATTATTCAGAACAATCCGTATATCGGTTATTTTTCGTGTATGTCAACATCATAACTTGAATTTATCCGCCATGTTTACTGACCTTGATCGATTTTATTTTGGGACAACCAATGAGAATTCGGGATCTAGGGGAGCAGATCGTTTATAATTTCCCTTATTTAAGCATAAATATCAATGTTTAAGTAAAAAAATCACATGGAATGCTTTTATTTATCGATGTTTAGTGATATCATACAACACAAACATTTATCAACACCGACATTTACTTTATCAAGTGATTATAAATTTCAAGCGCAAGTCTCAGTACATCACGCGAGAAACTGTCATGGCTGCTGAGGAGAAGGACTGTTAAACACGCAGATTTATTTTACTTGGTTTTCGCGTGTAAAGGGCTATGATGTTGATAGCGAATAAAAATTCCGCCTCATTGGAAGTAAGTTGAATGCAAAAACAATTTATTTTGCCTGCAGTCGCCCGTATCTAAAAAATATATTTGCACCATTACGGAGA